TGATACTCCAAAACTCCAAAGGAAACAAGAAAATGTCTGAGAGGAGATTAAGGAGACCTGACAACTAAATATGATGTGGGATCCTGGAACAGAAAAAAGACATTGGGGGAAAACTAGGAAATCTGAGTGAATAATGAACTTTAGTTAATAACAATGTACCAATATTGGTTCATCAGTTATGACAGAGGTACCACACCAATGTAAGAGGTTAATAGGGAAAACTGGGGATATGGGAATTCTCTGTACTATGTCCTCAATTTTTTTTTTTTTTTTTTGTAAATCTAAAGCTGTTCTCAAAAAAGTAAAGTCTGTTAGCAAATAAAAGAAATGAGAGATTTGATATACAGCATTTTGAGCCATTACTGGGAAGCAAATATTATTGGCCCACACTGTCAATGCCTTATGACTTTCATAAGGGTTTCATGGTCAAAGCCCTCCTGACGGGGCTACGTTGTTATTAGTTGCTTTTCACTGACTGAGGCCCTGAAACTCAGCGAGGTCCATTCCCTAGGGCCCCACCAAGAAGCGCTGAACGGGGATGTGTTTTCAGGCCTTCTGACCCTGATCCTGTGACGCCACCCGAGGACCTTTGAGAAGATGGTGGTGCGACCAGTTAACCGGATGCTCCGTTAACCAGAGCTCCCCTTCCTCACCCATCACAACTCTGTTCTCCCCATAGGGCTCACATCGTTCCCTGAACCTTACCTAGGAGGTTCTATTTTCCACAGCCACCCAGGAACGGCAGGGATTTTTGTTTGCTCCCTGTGAGGGATGGAGAGACTGAGACTCGGAGAGGTGACGGAACCTGTTCAAGGTCACGCAGCTAGTGGTGGGGTCAGGATTCAAGTGCAAAGCTTGCCCTCCTCCCACTGCATCATGCTTCTCCTTGAGTGACCAGCATGGCCACACTGAGGAATCTCACACAGTCACAGATACAGCCATGATGCTTTGGTCTTTTTCCGACTGTTCTTTGCTTGTGGGAGCAAGTGGTGAGGAAGAAGGCAGTTTCATCTAGTGAGGACGTTCTTTGGCTAATTTCCATACAGGGGATGAATCATGGGGATTGGTCTCTGCATTCACAGGACAGACACATGGTAGAATCCGCCCTACACACCAAGCTGGCAAAACATTGCGTATCAATCCCACCATGCCCGTGCCTGCTCCCACGGCAGCCATGATGAATCAGACCCGCTGGGCTCCGGCAGCCACCGCTGAGCCTGGGGCTGACCTGAGGCGAAAGCACTCTACCCTCCGGCGCCGGGCACGGCCACAGCTGCGGGATTTGGAAAGCAGAGATGCGCACAGGCTGGTTACTGCGGGCAGCGAATGCTGCAGCCACAGCACAGTGCCCTCTGCAGTCTTCCGGGAGGATATGTGGCCACACCACATTGCTCTGGGGCAGGACGAACAGTGCGGAGCTGCTGAGTGCCGGAGTGGCAGTGTCATGCTGTCCCTGTGACAGGAATGAAAAGGTGAAGCCACAGGACAGGATGCCAGGGGCTCTGTAGGCAGGCCACCCATGGGGAACGACTCGGGTTGATCCTCGGGAGGATCCCGGCAGTCGCAAGAAGTGACAGCGGCAAGATGAGACTTTGCATTCTGTTCCAGATTGTGATCCAATACTTGTGACAGCGATGGCAACAAGAACAAGAGAAAGCAATGGCCATGGGCTTAGCAACAAGGGGAAACTTACCTTGTGATCCTGGGCGCCTGATGACTGTATCAGGCCCTGGATCAATAACAAAGAGTTAATCACAGCTGATCCTATCCTTCTGAAATAGGAAGCCAAATTGCCCGAGACTAGTATTTACGGGAATTTTCCAACTTTGATGAAAACTTAAAAAGTCACTACATCAAAATACTTTTACGTAGCTCACAATCTGTGCATTAGCTTAACTTACATTTAGTAACATTTTGGTTTTCCTTTATTGCCATGTTTCCCTTCGACAGTGAGAAAGCCTTGGCCGGAATCCCAGCCCCGCTTCCTGTCAGCGTGCCCTGGGACAAGTCCCCTGGCCTCTCCCAGCGTGTTTCCTTGTCTGAAAAACAGGGGCGAAACTATAGCAGCCTCATTAGTGAATTAATAAAAGCACTTTAGTAGCTTTATAAATACTAGCGATTACTCCTACAGTCAATGGGCAAATGCACAGCCCTCCCCATTCCTAGGTGTGAGCTGTGGAAACGGCACAGGCCTTCGCCACGGAGCCAGGCGGGAGACCATGCGCGGGAGGCGCGGGAGCCGCTCTCCTCCGGAGGCAGCGGAGGGCTCGGCTTGGCCTGTGCTCCCTTCTTATCGGCTCTGAATGCTCCGAGGAGACCAGCAGCCCAGGGCCTTTCACTGTAACGTGGTAGAGAAAGCAGTGTCCAGACCACCGGGGGAAAATGCAGGCGCCCGCCTCGCTGCCCCCGACAACTAACTGCCAGGAGCCAGTGCTTGCAGGGAAATGAACAGTGAGGAGCCATCAAGACCTTGGGCAGTTATGCTTTTAGAAGTGAATTTTGATTTAATGAGCAGATATGCGTTAATATTTGGATTTTATTTCTGGATACAGAATTGAACATAGAGTAGTATTTGATAGCATGGGCGCTAATAACTCATTTTTACCTATGGAAACACACAAACACACACACACACACACACACCACGTGCATAATTAAGACAATTTCCAAATCATTTTGCTGCCTCTGTTTGTGAGAGACCTCTTCCTGGGCACCGCCCGGCAGTCACGGATCCCACTTTCACGCTGTGACAGGATCACCCAAACCTACAGGCCACCGGAAGCCGGAGGGACGGCTGCGTGCGTTTTGCTGCGCAGGCTGCAGGCCGAGCCAGGGTCTGGCGCATTTAGCTGTTGCCTACCATCGCCACCTGCTGGTCAGCTCTGTGTGGGGCCCAGGCCCTAGAGCGCCCCAAGGAAATCACAGGGGCAGCCAGCACCTCTCTCTCCTCCTCACTGTTCTGGTCCAAGCCGGCAGAGCCACATCTCCTGACAGGGAGTCTCTGTCCGCAGCCCTCACCGTGGCCCAGCGCACGGGAGACCGTAATAGCTACGTCCACGCCAGGGACCTCGGCAGAGAAGGGAAAGGCCAGGAGGGGAGCTGAGAGCAAACGCAGATTCCAGAAGAATCAGTCTCTTTCTGCAGTGCTTCCCCTCCCGCACTGTTGCTGCAGCCGGCAAGCTCAGAAGCAGTGTGGAGTTCAACCTGTTTCTGCGCCGCCGCATCCAGCCTGGGGAGCAGCAGAGGAAATCCAGGCCCAGCGGGGGCGCTGAGGCAGCTCACAGCATCGTCAGGCCCGGGGGGCCCTCTCCCTGCGGCGCCCACTGTGCCCTGCCGGGAGCACACTCTGAAACGCAGTCCGCTCTACAAAGCACCAGGCTGGTGCCCTGGGCTCCGGGTAGACAGAAAATGATGCCAGCCATTCCTTCGTGTGGCATAGAGCCCAAGGCAGGAGGGACAGCTGGGCTCTAAGAAGAACTGGCCAAAGACCTGCCCTTCGAACGTGGGCCCAGGGCTCCCTCTGTGCCCCTGGTGACTGCAGCGAGGCCCAGGCTGGCCACAGAGCACCGGCAGGCCCTGGGCATCGTCCTCCCACCTGGCAGGCGGTCCCAGCTCGCTACAGATGCTCACTGGACAGCGCGGGGTTTGTGCCACTTGAGCGGTAACATGGAAATTGCTTGAATGCGTGCCATTAAGTATGTGCACGCTCCAGTCCTCTTGGAGATGTAATTTTCTCCTGTATAAGCCAGCAAATGAACTTGGCACACTAAATGAAAAACTCTTATTATCCTGTGAGGTCACGCCCTGAATTTGGGAGGACAATTCCCAGCTGCTGATGTGACAACCTCAGATTTTTTTTTTTCTTTTTGCCTCAGACATTTTTGAAAACTTTCTTTCTTGGGGCACTGACTCAGGGCCCCAAACTGAGTAAAAGCATCTCCAGCTGAGCCCTTTCCCTCCCCCAAGCGTGGAGGCCCGACCTCCATTTACTGTCACGTGTGTGTCCTTAGGGATAAGACAGGACTGATTCCCTCTCAGCATCAAACAGGTCGCCTGGACGTGGCTTAGGAGGAGAAAGCATCCAGGTAGCAAACCTGGTCTTTCATTACAGATAATGAATAATGAGTGTTATTCAGAGTGAAAATGACTGCAATTCTTCACCTGTCAGATGAAAAGGGCACAGGAAAGAGGGGTTTAAAAATAGCGCCTGCACTCAGTGTGTGGTGGGCACAGCTGGCAGCCTGAGAGCATTGTCTGCCGGGAGGGTGGTGAGCCAGCCAGCCTCAGACGTTCAGACGTTGGGAGTGTCCTGGGTTAGGATTGAAGGAGGAGGCGGGGTTTCTCCTGTGACCATGACCTTGGGACAAGGTCTTGCTGCCTGACTTCTCTTTGGAACCTCAGCTTGCAGCCCGTCTTCATTCCCTCATGCGCTGAAGAAAGACACAGAGAGGACTTCCCCACACAGAACCGTGGGAGTCTCTGGATTTCAGCTTCTCAGAGCTCCTTTGGAGACCATTTGTGATGTGAAGGGGCTGGAGGAAGCGGATGGAGGCAGCCTCATGGAAGAGCACAGGGGTCAGATGACCAGAACTGACCATTGTACCGATTACTCCCTGCACTGCCCTGGTGGGACCCTGGCTCCGGAGTCTCCTCTCTCTGTGTCTTCTGCTTCCCTACAGGGCTTAAATGACACAGTGTACACACGCCACCTGTGTGGGGAGCTTGCTGAGTACTTCTTCCCCTTCTATTTCGCCTCTGGCTGCAGCCATCCACCTCAGCCAATGTCCTTCCAGCCCATCTCTCTGCATGTGGGCTCCGTGTTTGCTTCCATCCTCATGTCTCTCTGCCTTAGACAAAGCCAGCGCACGAGGACAGTGACTATTTCTCTTATTCGCCACCGTTAGTCAATGACCGGAATGGTACCCAGGGCCTAGTAATTGCTCACTATTTATTGAGTGATCTGATCTTTCCTAATAATTATTGGTTTTGTGAAAACAAAGATACTAATTAAAACAATGCAAAGTGGCCGAAACTGGTTTGGCTCAGTGGTAGAGCGTCCATCTGCGGACTGAAAGGTCCCAGGTTCGATTCTGGTCAGGGCATGTTCGTTGGTTGCGGACACATCCCCAGTAGGGGGTGTGCAAGAGGCAGCTGGTCGATGTTTCTCTCTCATCGACGTTTCTAGCTCTCTATCTCTCTCCCTTCCTCTCTGTAAAAAATCATTAAAATATTTTTAAAACACACACACACACACACACACACACACAAACAAACAAAACAAAAACAACCCAATGCAAAGTGGATTCAAATCAATGCTTAGGTTACTGGTTGGCAGCTATAATAAAATTATATAATAAAAATTTCTACATTAGCCCTTTCACTAAGCATCCTGCTCTCTACCCTGATTGACATCTGTCCACCCAACCAATGCCAACTTTAGGGGGACTCACCTTTCTCACGAGGGGCCTCACCTTTCTCACGAGGGGCCTCGCCTTTGAAACTGACCTTGAGCTGCACAGGGAGAATTGAGGCGGTCCAGAGAAAACCAGACCCCGAACTGCTGACCCTGAGACCTTCTGAGAGGTCTTCCCTTCCTTCCCAGATTCTGCTTTCACAGAGGAAAAGACTAATCATCCTGAGTCGCACAAATCACTCTATGGACAACATACTTGCTTATTGTGATAGATTAGAACTTTTAACAATTCTGGAGAGGGTGTTCATGGCTAGATCCCAAATGCTCAGCTCAGAGTGAGACCCTGAGCAGAACCAAGAATGTTTTTCAAAGAGACCCCGACCCTGGTTCCTGAGAGCCTCTGCTTCTTTCTACCTAGAGGCTGTGCACCTGGACCACCAGTGCTTCATGAATTGTTCACCTCAGAGCCGCCTTGCCAGCCATCTGAGGGACAGGTAGGTCATAGGTGGGGCTACTCTCCAGTAGGAAGATCACCACCAGGGCTATCTGGCTGAGGGATGGATGGACCAAAGCCCAAGTTCCCAGTCTAAGAAGTGCAAGATGGTTTGCTTCATGGAGGGAAGAGTGAGGGGAGCAAAGGTCTGTGACGGTGAGCTGGCATCGGCAAGTCCAACACAAAAATCAGCACCTCCCGATGGGGTGAGTAACTGTGCCTTCTGCAAATTAAACTGCATTTGCACCTCCTGTGTCTCAGTCTTGATATATTAGGGTTCAGGGAAGAACAGCTGATCTCTCCCTCTGCTGTGTGCTAGCCACCACCCCCCAACCCGGGGCTCTCCCAAGTGCAGTTATGAAATGGACACTGGCTCTCACCTGCACTGAGGCTCCCACCTCACTCAGCAGCCTGCCCATTTGGGTTCAGGGCCAGTGAGTTTTCAGAGAAAGCAAGTTCCTCCTGGGAGCCACAAACATTGCCCTGTAACAGACTGTGTCTGAAGAAAGACACAGAGACAGCAACATTTCCATCTTCAATATTGTCCCACCTTGGTGCCAACAGTTCTCTCTTGTCAACCATTGAGGAGAGCCAGAGCATGTCCATTATAAACTGGCACTCCACAGTAACCAGCACCATGCAGGCACAGATGGAAACTAAACAAAAAACAAACAAACAAAAAAACCCACAAAAAACAAAATCAGCCAAACTGATGGAGATGATTAAAAGGTTTTCAAATAGTCTTTCTAAATTTCTTTTAAAAATCAAAGCACAATTCACTTGCTTCCTCCAGTGAAGCCTTTATTGTTTTCTCAACCTGCAACTTGAATTCAGATGAAAGAGACATTGGCGATTGGTGCTCCGTCCTTCCTTAAGGAAACTGATGAAGGAAGGTAATAAATAGATGTATTAAACAAATCTATCAGAGCAGGCATGCTGAGACAAAATGTTAAAATGGCAATAGTCTCCGAAATGAGCTACAGATTCAAAGTCCCAGCTGGATTTTCTTGTAGAAATTGATGAACTGATCCTAAAATTTATATGGGACCATGAACAGCTGAAACAATTAAGAAAGAATTTGGAGGACTTTTATAGCCTGATTTCAAAACTTACTATAAAGCTGTAGTCATCAATATAGCGTTGTACTGGCATAAAAATAGACATATTAATGGAGTAGAGTTAAGAGTCCAGAAATAAGCTCTTACATTTATGGCCCATTTATTTTCAACAAAGCTGTCAGGACAATTTATTGGGAGAATAAATAGTCTTTTCCACAAATAATGCTGAAAAAAATGGATATGCTCATGAAGTTGGACCCTTATTTCACACCGTACATAAAAAACATCTCAGATGATAGACTTAAATGTAAGAGCTAAAATTATAAAGCATTTAGAAGATAGCACAAGACTAAGTCTTAATGAACCTGAGCAAGACAATGGTTTCTTAAATATAACACCAAAAGTACAAGCAATATGAAAAGAGGTAGATAAATTGGAATTAATCAAAATTAAAAACATTTACATCATAAAGTAAGACTGGGAGAAAATATTTGCAAGTCACCTATCTACTAAGGGACTTATATATAGAATATGTAATAAGATTAATTTGTGTCTTTAAATCATATGCCACTTTAAAAAGGCAGAGGATACACAAATGATTTTCAGGGCCTGGTGGGAGAGGGGAGGGAATTGGAGTGACAGCTTAGTGGGTATGAGCCTTCATTTGGGGAGTTATATTAGTGCAAATATACTTAATGCCACCGACTCATAAATTTAAAATGGTGTAGTTATGGAATGTGAATTATATAGCAATAGAAAAGAAAGAAAATAAATTATGTAAGAACTGAAAATATAAAAGCTTCTCTACCTCTTTCCTCTCTCACATCATTAGACTTCTTACCTCATTTCTGATACTTCCCTGATCCTTACTCTTATCAGATTTCAGATCTCTCCAAGAAAGCATGCCTGACTTGAACTGTATTCCCAGAACTGAAATAGCAATCAGATCCCAAACCCATTGATGTGGGATAAGTATATTTTGAGTAGATAAAAAAGCCCTGGTATGTTAATGCAATAGAATATGACTCAACCGTAAAAAAGAAGTAAATCTTACCTTTTGGGAAAGCATGGATAGACCTGGAGTGTATTATATGAAGTGAAATAAGCCAGCCAGAGAAAGACAAATACCATATAAATTCACTTATATGTGGAATCTGATGAACAAAGTAAACTAACAAAGTGGAGAGAACAGACTGACAGTTGTCAGAAGGGAGAGGGGTGGGGTATGAGTGAGAAGGGAGAGGGATTAAACAAAGGTAAAAAGAAAGACTCATGGACACAGAGAACAGCATGGTGCTCACCAAAGGGAGGGTATGGTGGCAGGGGGAGGGAGGAATAAGAGGGTAAAGTAGAGGTAATAGGGATGGAAGGAGACTTGACTTGGGTAGTGAACACACAGTACAATATACAGATGACATATTGTAGAATTGTATACCTGAAACCTATATGTTTTATTAACCAATGTCACCCCAATAAATTCAATGTACAAAAATGATCAACTTCTGAATTACAGTATTTTCTGTGTATTCTAAGATTTAGCAAATAAATAAGTAAACTGAAAAAGAAAAAAAGGGAACATCTTCAAAGACGTATTTTGAAGGATATCTTTATTGAAAAAAAATAATTATACCAGCAGAGTCTCTAATGACAATCTTTAACAATCTTAGCTATTTGGAGCATATAGCAGAGAGGTTATGAGTTGCTGAAAGAAAGGATAATTAAGCGTCTATATGACATTAAAGTATGGGTGAGTTCCAATTTAAAAATACCAAAAGTCCATGACCTGGTCAGTAACTCAGTTGTTTAAAGCATTGTCCCAATACTCCAAGGTTGCAGGTTCGATACCTGGTCAGGGCACATACAAGAATCCACCAATGAATGCATAAGTAAATGTAACAAAAACAACAACAAGAACAACAAAAATAGGCAGAGGATGTAAACAGATATTTCTCCAAAAACTGTATGTGAAGAAGGCTAATACACACATGAAAAGATAAATAACATTATTAATTATTAGGGAAACTAATCAAAACCATAGTTAGATAGCACTTCACACCCATTAGGATGACTAAAATAAAAAAGAGACAATAACAAGGATGTGAAGAGATTGGAATTATCTTTCTTTGTAGTGTCTTTATCTGCTTTTGGGATTAGAATAATGCTGGCCACGTAAAATGAGCTTGAGCGTCTTCCCTCCTCTTGAATATTTTTAAAAAGTTTGAGAAGAACAGGTGTTAGTTCTTTTTTGAATGTTTGGTATAATTTCACCTGTGAAGCCATCTGGTCCAGGATTTTTGTTTGTTGAGAGTTGTTTATTTAATTACTGCTTCAATTTTACTAGTTATAATCTGTCTATCCAGATTCTCTGATTGTTCCTGATTTAATTTTGGAAGATTGTATGTTTCTAGGAATTTATTCACTTCTTCCAGGTTGCCCTTTTTTATTGGCATACAGTTGTTTATAATATTTTCTTACAATTTTTTGTATTTCTTTGGTGTCAGTTGTTACTTCTCCACTTTCATTTCTGGTTTTATTTACTTGAGTCCTCTCTCCTTTTTTTCTTAATAAGTCTGGTTAAAGGTTTGTCAATCTTGCTTATCTTTTCAAAGAACCTGCTCTTAATACTCCTGATGAACATAGAAGCTAAAATTCTCAACAAAATATTAGCAAATCACATCCAGCAATGCATTAAAAAGATCATACATAGCTGAAACCAGTTTGGCTCAAAGGATAGAGCTTCAGCCTATAGACGGAAGGGTCCCAAGTTCGATTCCTGTCAAGGGCATGCACCTTGGTTGCGGGCACATCCCCAGTGGGAGGTGTACAGGAGGCAGATGATTGATGTTTCTCTCTCATCGATGTTTCTGACTCTGTATCCCTCTCTCTTTCTCTCTGTGAAAAATCAATAAAATATATTAAAAAATCATAAAAAATACATTAAAAAGATCATACATAATGACAAAATCTTCAAATGAATAAATGTGATACACCACATAAACAAAATGAAGGACAAAAATCCACATGTTCAAAATAGATACAGAAAAAGCATTTGATAAAACCAATTTATGATAAAAACTCAGCAAAGTGGGAACAGAGGAATCATAACTCAACATAACAAAGGGCAAATATGGCAAACCAATAGCCAACATCATATTCAATGGGATAAAAACTACAAGCATTTCTCTTAAGATCAGAAACAAGACAGAGATGTCCACTTTCCCCACTCTTACTCAGCATAATTCTGGAAGTTCTAGTCACAGAAATCAGACAAGAAGAAGAAATAAAAGGCATCCAAAGTGGTAAGAAAGACTAAAACAGTCATTATTTGCAGATGATATGATACTTTACATAGAGAACCCTAAAGCTTCTATAAAGAACTACTAGAACTGATAAGTGAATTCAGTAAAGTAGCAGAATACAAAATAAATATCCTGAAATTGGTTGCATTTCCAAATACCAATAATGAACTATTGTTTTCTTTAATTTCCCCAGAAAGGGAAATTAAAGAAAACAATCCCATTCACAGTTATTTTAAATATAATAAAACTAGAAGCCTGTTGCACAAAGATTCGTGCAATAGGCCTTCCTTCCCCTGGCTGTGGGCACCAGTTTTCCTCTGGCACCCAGGACCCAGGTCTTTGCTCTGGCCACTGCCTTCTGTCTTCACTCTGGCCAGGGCCTTCAGTCTTCTCCACTCTGACCAAAGAGCCACTCCTGTAGCTCCTTCTACCCCTGCCCTCCCTTCCCATAGCAGGTGTCCCACCTCCCCCCACCCCAGCTGCTCCGCTCTGTGCCTGCACATGCAAATTAATCCACCAAGTTTGTTGGGTTAATTTGCATACTCACTCCTGATTGGCTAGTGGGCACCGTGGGGGGGTATGGTCATTTTGCATATTTCTCTTTAATTAGTGTAGATATTTAGGAATAAATTTAACCCAGGATGAAAAGACCTATACTTGAAAAAATTATAAGAAACTGAATAAAGAAATTGAGGAAGAAACAAAGAAGTGGAAGCATATACTGTGTTCATGGGTAGGAAGAATTAACATAATTGAAAATTCCATATTACCCAAAGCAACACAATTTCTATCAAGATACCAATGGTATAGAACATATATTCCAAAGTTTTATATGGAAGTGTAATTGACCCCAAATAGCCTCAGCAATCTTGAGAAAGAAGAACAAAGCTAGAGGAATCAGGCTATCTGATATCATACTATACTACAAGGCCATAGTAATTAAAACAACATAAAAACAAAAATGAACCTATACCTTTATAGTAAATTAATATTTGACAAAGGAGGCAAAAACATTTAATGGGGTAAAGATAATCTACTCAGTATATGGTGTTGAGAAAATTGAACAAAAATAAGTGAAGAAAAAAAAAGAAAAAGAAACTAGATTACCTTCTTACACTATGCATAAGAATAAACTCAAAATGGATTAAAGACTTAAATGTTAGACTCAAAACCATAAAAATCCTAGAAGAAAACTTAGACAGTGAAATCTTGGACATTTCTTGTAGCAATATTTTTTCTGACATATCTTCTGAGGCAAGGGAAACAAAAGGTAAAATAAGCAAATGGAATTACATTAAAGAGTTTTTGTACAGCAAAAGAAACCATCAACAAAATGAAAATAAAACCTACTAAATGTGAGAACATATTTGCTGATATACATTTGATAATAGGTTAATATCCAAAATTTATAAAGAACTTACAAACTCAAAACCAAAATAACAAATAATTCAATTTTATAAATGGGCAAAGGATCTGAATAGACACTTCTCTAATGAGCACATACAGATGGTCAATAGACATATGAAAAGATGTTCAATGTCACTAATTATCAGAGAAATGAAAATTAAAACCATAATGAGATATCACCTCGCACCTGTCAGAGTGGCTATCATCAATAAATCAATAAATAACAAGTTTTGGCAAAGATGTAGAGAAAAGGGAATGCTCGCTGAAACCGGTTTGGCTCAGTGGATAGAGCGTCGGTCTGCAGACTGAAAGGTCCCAGGTTCGATTCCGGTCAGGGGCATGTACCTTGGTTGCGGGCACATCTCCGGCAGGGGGTGTGCAGGAGGCAGCTGGTTGATGTTTCTCTCTCATCGATGTTTCAAGTTCTCTATCCCTCTTCCTTCCTCTCTGTGAGAAATCAATAATATATATATATATATATATATATATATATATATATATATATATATATATATTTTTTTTTTTTTTTAAGAAAGAAAATAAAAGGGAACGCTCATGCACTGCTGGTGGGAATGCAGACTGGTGCAGCCATTGTGAAAAACAGTATGGAGTTATCTCAATAAATTAAAAATGGAACTGCCTTATGACCCAGTGATCCCACTTCTGGGAATTTATTGGAAAAAACCTGAAAAACTAATTTGAAAGAATATATGCATCCCTATGTTCATTGCAGTGTTATTTATAATAGCCAATATTTGGAAGCAACCCAAGTACCCATTAGTAGATGAGTGGATAAAAAAGCTGTGATGTATTTACACAATGAAATACTACTTGGCCCTAAAAAAAAAAAAAAAAAGGAAATCTTACCTTCGTGACAACACGGATGCACCTGGAGAGCATTATGCCAAATGAAATAAGTCAGTCAGAAAAAGACAAGTACCATATAATTTCACTCATATGTGGAATGTGATGAACAAAATGAACTAAAAAGCAAAATAGAGACAGACTCATAGTAGGCTGACAACTATTGAGGGACAGGGCTTGGGAGGCTGGGTGGGAGGGTGGACAGACTGAAAAAAAAGGAAAAGAAAAAAAGAGAGAAAACTCATGGACACGAACAATAGTGTGGTGATTGTGGTGGGTCAGGGATGAGGGGAAATGGAGGAGGGTATACAGGGGATAAATGGTGATAGACTTGACTTGGGGTGGTGAACAAACAATACATTGTATAGATGATATATGTATTATGCACCTAAATCCTATATAATTTTAATTTTGTTTATCATTGTCTCCTCAATAAATTCAATAAAAAGGAAAAAAATAAAAAATGGAGATTGAAATTATCTTAAGTTGCTGGTAGATAATTTGGAAAACAGCAGCTCCTCAAAAAGGTAAATATACTTACCCTGTGATGTCATTATGAGTTTCTCATCTGTTCATCTATTGAATTATTGTTAAATTGTACTGTAAGAATAAAGCCTACATCCATTTTTAAAAACCATCTTTTAAAGATGTCATTTCAGTGTAGTATTCATAATCTAAAAGTAATCAATGGTGAACCGATTGAAAAAGTGATTTTCTGGCATTCCATTAATTAATTTAGTAGACTCAAATCACGTGACAAAAATTGACAGAGATTGACTCTTAATAAAGTTTGAACTTTCTTATGCATCATCTTTCAAGAGGCTAAAATATGCATCTCGAGTCTTAAATATTTATATTAAATACCTGATTTCCTATTTAAGTTGAAAATTGTTTCTTATTTTACCCAACATGGAGGTTCTTTCTCAGTGGCTTTCCTCAATGTTGCTGCCATTTCAGTTATCTGGTCAACATGTGCTTGTGATGCCTTGGAATGCTGCATATTAAACTTCTCTGTTATACCCAGGTCACAGGTTAGCCATTAGCAATCTGCAATGTGCTCTCAGTACTTGCTCATGATAAGCCTCAGAGCTAGTGATGACTCCCCAGATGTGTGAAGTGTTCCCTGCTCTGGCTGTGCACTGGCCAATATCTTGGGTATTCATTTGATTCTTTCATTTCTTCCTCATTCTGCTTCATTTCTTCCATTTCTTTTGGGAGCTATGGTTTGAGTATAAAGATACTAGAAGCCTGGTGCACAGATTTGTGCACATTAAAAGGAAATTAATTAGAAGAAATATTTTAGAGGCCAGGGAGGGCCTGAGGGAGGGCTCCAGGGCATGTCCAACCTGTCTTACCCAGTCCCGATAGGCTGGACCCCAGCAGCAAGCTAACCTACCGGTTGGAGTGTATGCCCCCTGGTGGTCAGTGTGCATCATAGCGACTGGTTGAACAGATGAATGAATGGTCAGACACTTAGCATATTCGGCTTTTATTATATAGAAGTTTGCTGCTTTGTCATGGTCCTTTGATTTTTTAACAAGATTCTTCTACAACACACTTTCTAGTCTCTATTCTTTACAGATGAAATGGTTTGTTGGAGGCGAGCATTATCTCCTTAACCCCTGATGGGTCAGGGACAGGAAGCATGAATTCTTTTTGTGAAGGAAAAGGAAAGTGCCATTTTCTAGGCTTTCACTGGGGCTGGCTACCCAGCCTCCTCACCTGAATCCCATCACCGTGTTTTCTTTCCTCTCCCTTTAGCTCAGCATACCTGTGCTCAGGACCAGGCCTGATATGTGCTCTCTCTCAATAGGGTTAAATGGCTAAGTAAACAACAAGGAAATAAAATGTTAATCTCTACTATAAATAGCACATTGGGAGTATGACCCTTCCCTGAAGTAGATCTGTCATTGCTTTTACTCTGGCATAGACCTGCTTTTCTATTGCACAGGGCACAACGTAGACACATGCACACCATTCTAGTCAGCTGGAGTACCTTGTTTGTGATGAGGGAGTAATACAAAGGACCCCAAATTATGCAATGTCCCTTAGGCAGAACTTTCTCTGAGCAGCCTTCCATCTTTGGGGCTTCCCTCTCAGGCAATGAGGGCCCAGGTAAAGATGAGCCCAGATGCTGACTGCCTCATGCTCCCCAATCTCAGATGGAAGACTCTGGAAGGCTTTCGGCATTTCTGACAGCGCTTCAGATATGGGCCTGCCTTGAGCTGTGGAGTATAAAACACTTCTTGACAGGCTTAAGCTTTGCATCCGTCAGTTCTGTAATGTGTGAGGACAAACCTAATGGGATATGCTCTGTGCTCGCTCTAGACACTTGCACTACAGTGCTGGGAGTTTTTCCTCACTCCGGCTTCTATTGCCTTGGAAATATTGTCACACTAGAGGCTGATAGGGTAGATTAGAGGTAAACCAAATACATTATTCCAACTCTTTCACTCAGCATGTCTCAAAGTGGGGTGACAGATTATTTTTGCCTTTACATGGGCAGTTTGTTAGTGTTAGACACCCCTTCTCTGGGCCCCAACCCAGTCTTATTGCCTTCAAATCTTTAGGCCCAGAGATGGGGTGTGTGCATTACAAACACACTTATTTTGCACAACATTGAAGACCAGTCATAAGTGCTGTGTCGAAGTCTGATTCCACAATTCTAACCCCTGGGGAATTAGTTCAACTGTTCCCTGGTTTCGAAGGGTATGAGACAATGAAAGAATGACTGATGAATGCAATCTCTTCATACTAAGTAAGTAATTTAGGTGATTGTTCAATTTTTCCACCACAGGGCTACTTTACGCTATCTGTGGGCCATGTTAATGAGATTCAGTTTATAAAATCTGATTCATGTTTGAAGAATTTACAGATGGCATCATTCAAGGGTTCCCTTCCTCACACAGTCACCATCCGCTTTCTCTTCCTTCCTCATCCTGGCCACAGCCTGTGACCTCTGCAATGACCTTTCCCCTCTGAGCCAGCAGTTCTCAACTTTGGCTACCTATCAGCACTGCCAGGGAGCTTTTATTGTAAAATCCCAACATCCAGGTCACAATCCAGACAATTGTATCTGAATTTCGGCAGGGGGGGGAGGGGAGGGCAAGACCCAAGAACCAGTATTTTTAAAGCTGCTCAGGCAATTCCAATGTGCAACCAAAGTTGAAGCCACTGTTCTGAGGAAAGACCTCATTTCTAAGAGCTCAAGCCTCTTCCAATTTGGAGCAGTGGTTCTGCCACCATGTCCTTCCCCGCCTTTTGGAACACACTGTCCCAGCACTCCATCTATCCCCAGGTTCCATCACCCTGAGGAAACAGACCCTCCCCCGCCACACCCCATCAGTAAAGTTGTACCATTTGGCTCTTGGCTGGATCAGCCTGTTCTGTTCCCCTGCCCCCAGAGAGTCAAGCTGCTGGTTGCTGCCTGGGCTGCTTTCCCTCCATCACTCAGCCCTAAGTTGATCAGACACAACCAAACCACCCAGCTCACCCCCTGAGCGTTACACTTTGAAGTCCGTTACACTTTGAAGTCCATCACACTAGAAACAAGTCCTCGTGTTCATTAACCACTCCAGTTAGTTAACTGATGGGAAAGAGTTAGATGAGTTGGTGACTAATTAAGAAGCCTGTATGGCTGAAACCAATTTGGCTCAGTGGATAGAGTGTCGGTCTGCAGACTGAAAAGTCCCAGGTTCGATTCCAGTCAAGTGCATGTACTTTGGTTGCGGGCACATCCCTAGTAGGGGGTGTGCAGGAGGCAGCTGATCGATGTCTTTCTCTCATCGATGTTTCTAACTCTCTATCCCTCTCTCTTTCTCTCTGTAAAAAAAAAATCAATAAAATATATATATAAAAAAAGAAAGCCTGTATGCATTCCACCTATATCCTCTGAAATATGATCATTCTCAGGGGCCCAGAGATACAAGGGGATCGTTTTAGCTTCCTGGGGAGATGAAGCTGGCAAGAGCCCAACTGAATGAAAATCAGAGACTATTTCTTGGGAAAGAAACAGTGCCAAGCAAATTCACTCATTTAGGAAACATTTATACTGAGCACCTACTGCAGAAAGCCCAGAGGACTAAAAACAGATGAAACGTCAGTGCTTGGAGCTTCCCTTTGGGTAAGGGAGGCAGTCAGTGAGGCAGGCAGATGCAAATGGGATGTGCTGGTGGAAGAACTTAGTGGGATTTGATAGAGAGTCTGGGGAAGGGTGAAAGATAAATACAGCTAACTAGGTGGAGGGCTGGAGCACAGGAGGGCTAGAGCATTCCAGGCAGAGGGGACGCTGTGCAAAGACTGTCCGGGCTGAGGTCTAGGACTGGAAGGCAGCCAGCATCTCTGAGGGAACATTTCAGGAGGAAGCATCTCTGAAGGGAGGACAGGACTCCACACAAATTATACCAATAAGGAGAAGGACCTGCCAGTTCCCATGCCTTCCAGAAAGGGCAGAGAGAAGAAGGTGTCTGAAGTAGAGGCTTGGAGTTGTGCAAATGAGGCTGTGGGTGTTGATCCTCAGGCTGGACTGAAGCTCTGAACACCAGCCCCTCCCCTCAAAGAGTAAGTGGGCCAAGCATCTCCTCAGCAGGCCAGAGGTCAGTCAGGACTCAGAGCTGGGACTGATTGGCTGTTGAAATGGAAGAGATGGTTCTGAACCAGAAAAGACAAAGAGTGTTCCACGGCAAGTTGAATGTCTCTCACTCCTGCCCCACTCTCCATAGAAATGTGGGTCCTGAGCAAGATGAGCCCAGTGTCCATCCTGATCATGCTAACGACAAAAGCTTACAGTCTCTGCACGCGGGCCACTGACCTCCCCCCCCCTCCCCCGGAGGCCAGCCTCCAAAGCAGCTCTGCTTCACCACATGCCTTCCCTTCCTCCACTTGGGAGCCCCACTTGGACCTCAGTCACCTTCCCAGGCTGGAAGGGGCAGGGGGCCACGGCCTGGAAACATGACCAGGGTTTGAAAAGGACCAGCCTTGAGGAGCACATGGGTGGGGAATAGAGGGAGGCTTAGGGGCCCCCGGTACCCCTTTACAGCTTTGGTTGTAAAGTGGGGAACTTTCTGGCTTCAGCTGCCTTAACTAAAAGCAAGGGTGGGTGGCTCCAAGCCCATGGTGAGCCTTTCAGACCTAACTTGCCCCAAAACTGCTCCTCCTGGGTCCCTGAGGCCTAGGCTAGATCTTGTACAATTACAAGAGTTGTACAGTACATTTTAACTCTGAGCTTCCAAAAAGTCAAATCAATAAGATAAATACATGATCAGTTGTAATTCTCTAATTAAAAAAAAATATTTATGCAGTATCTCCTCTATATATTAATAGTACTAGGCACTATCTATTAATAGTACTAGGCACTATTAATACAAGGGAGCAAAAACAGACAGCTCTAGTATAAGACCAAGTTCCCACAGAGTGGGAATAGAACTGGAGTTGTAGTTCAGTGCTCAATTATGTCCACTGATAGTATTCATTGCTGTTGCAGATGTGAAGCAGTGCTTACACACACAACTTCACCATTTCATAGCCTCCAAACAAACCTTAAAACTCCAATTTGGCCAAAACCGGTTTGGCTCAGTGGATAGAGCGTTGGCCTCCAGACTGAAAGGTCCCAGGTTCGATTCTGGTCAAGGGCATGTAC